AATGTTATTCCTTGAGGAAATTTGAGGCTAAATTATTCCGACTTAAAATAAACACTTAGTGCACCAATTACCCAAAGGGGCGGGCTTTCCGTGAGATTCCCCTCATCTGCGTTTTGGAAGGGTGGGAGAGGATCTTGGCGAACAGATAATGGCTGCAAATAAATTACAGCTCCCGCAGATGAAGTTTCCATTTGAATCGAAAGACGCAATTAAGAAACTGTCCGGGCACCGGATCGGGTGTTTATCTATTATCTCATTAGGACGAAACCATTAATGCTGCCTTTTAAGTGTAAAACGAGCCGTTGGGGCTGTAATTCCCGGCGGGGGGCAGGGGACACGCTTCCTGCGAACCGGGGCCCCGGCGATCGAATGGCATTTACCGAATAATTTCTGCTGGCATTTTACCTTTTCCCGTGGGTTGGCGGGTGCTGTCGCCGGCTGGTCCTTAGCCGCCTTTTAGGGGGCTCGAGGAGCCGGCGCGAAGCTGCGGTCCGCGAGGTGTGGGAAGGGGAAGCGATCGCTCCAGCGAGCTGCCAAGGGGAGCTCGGCTCACGGGCGAGCCCGGGGCGAGCGGGGCCGAGGCGGCGGGGAGCCCGGCTCTCCCCTCCGCCTCCCTGCCCGCCGGAGCCCGGGAGAGCGTCTCTCCCTTGCCCGCTGCTTTCCTGCTCCCGGGTTGGCGTCTTCGCCCTAAAGAGGTGCCGCTGAACTACGGATTCAAAGAGTGAAATCAGATTTCTTTTTCGGTTCTCGCACCGCCTGTCCTTTAGTTTTTCTTTGTGTAAAAGTTCCCCAGACCATGTAATTATCGCCAACACGCACGAAAGAATGGTGTCATTTATTTTTAAAAGGGTGACATGCTTTCTATTTTCCTGATTAAACGAACCGGCTCTGCGGCCCAGAGCTGCTCCCTTCGTCGTTTCTGGGGAGTCTGGAAGTGATGGACGTTTTCTGACCCGAAGGGGCAAAGGCAATGCAAAGAGGTCCTTGATCACTGAGCTGAGAATTGTAACCCCGGCCTGCCAGAAACTGGACCTGGATGGTTTCCCTTTGATGTGTTTTATTATAAATCGAAAACAAAGCTGACTTCTGCCCAGCACCCCGCGCGGGTGCATTCCTGCGCAACCCCAACACTACCCGGCAGGGAGGGGAGCCGCGTCCCGCCGCCCAGCCCGCTGTTTATTTTACCTCTGCCCGAGCACGTCCCCCCTCGCCCGCTCCCCTCGTCCGCCCTCCCCTCCCCTCCCCTCCCCTCCCTTCCCTTCCCGTCCCGTCCCTTCCCTCCCCTGCCCTCCCCTGCCCTCCGGGAAACCTGCCGGCACCCAGCCGCCGGCGGGGCGGGGGCGGGAGACAAGGGACCTCGCCGGGATGCTTTCGGCCAGCAAAATTCCGCAGCGGCTCTCGGGGAGGGTGCTCTCGGCAGCCGGACGCGAGGTGCATCTCCCGGGAGGTTTCCTTTCCCCCCCGCGTCCGCGGAAGGGCCCGCCGGGCTTCCCGCCGCCGCCGCCCCGGGGCAGAGGCGGTGTCGGCGCTGCCCGGTCGCTTTTGTGCGACAGCGGCGCGGAGGAGGTGGGACGCGGTTATTAGTATTCACGGCAGATGTATTTTCTTTAACGCAACGTCTTCATTCCAGTTGGTGGCCGACAGCAGAATCCGTTTCCCGATGTTATTTGCATTCCCTGTTTTATGGAGGATTAAAATATTTGTATTCCTCCAGGCAGACTAAATTAACTTTTTTCCTCCCCCCCCCCTTTTTTTTAATAACACAATTATCTCATTTAACAATTTGCCTTTAAAAAAATACTGTGGCTGTTAGGTTGGTGGTCAGGAGACAAAGGGAGTGAAAATAATTTTCATTTCAATAATTGCCTTCTGGTCAATTTAACTGTGCCTTATTTTGAAAGAGCCTGTCTAAATGAGATTCCTGTCCCAAATGTGTTCCCAGGCCTTAGCCCAGCCTTTAATTATTCCTGAGTTTTTTTTCTTCGGAATAAGACGCTGCACTGAGTAATCACAAAGAAGTCAGAGAGCATCCTTGAACCTTTTCAATAGCAGAGCCACTGATATTCAAATAACATGCAAGGACCATTTGACTGCATGGGGACATAAGCATTTCCAATTCAGTATTTGCATAGATCAACTGTCTTTGAAAAGGAAAGGAGCAGTTGTCTTCCATAACATTAAAAAGCCTAGTTATCAAATCAAGTGCTTAGTTTGGGGCTTTTAAAACGTTTACATTTTATCTCAGGTTGCCCTTTACCGTTTGACATGCAAATTTGGTGCAGTTAATTTGGACAATTAAAAGGATCTTCAAGGGAGCTTTGTCACCGAGAATATTCGGAGTTTTCCCCGTGGACCAGCTGAGATAAAGTTGGCCAGAACAAATGATGTCTAGGAGATTAATTAGATATTTGATAAGACATGAATCCCTAATAAGGGAATACAAGGCACAGGGGGCTGCTGTGTGCTCTAAGTCAAAATTAATAACATTTAACAAGATTTTCATTTAGGCATGAAATGTCTTTTCCGGAGTATTGACTCTAGCGATTTATTCCCCCGAGATCACCTCCCAACCTAGGCAGCCTTGTGGCGCTAAAGGCTTTTTAAATTAAATAAATAGTTCCTCAGCACAGTTCGCTTTCACGCAGGTTTAGGGCCGGTTTCGCCAAAGGCGCTTAGGGCTCGGCGTGGTACCCGGCTGGCGTAGCGGGGCTCGGACTCGGTTTAAATTTGTTGGTTTGGTTTGGTTTTTTTTTTTTTTTTAAATAAACCAAAACTAAGGCGGCTTGAAAAGAGCGACCGGAGCGCTTCAGCGCGCCTGGCTCGGGGGCCGGTTCCTTCCCCTCCCGGCCATCAATGCCCGCTGTATTTTTAATTACGGTCCCTGTAAGGAGGACGGGGGGGGGGGGGCGGGGGCCCCCACTAAAAACCTGACCCCTGCGAGGGCTGGGCAGGGGGAAGGAGGGGGCACGAAGAAGAACAAACCCGCGAGTACGTTGTTCAGAGTCCTTTAATAATACCAAAATGAAAATATGTCAAGATTTTTTTCCATACAGATAAACGCATTTAATTTCTTTAAGAGACCTTAACTTACGTGTGTTTGAGTGAAATGTTAACTCAACATTTTAAATATCTTTTACATATATACTGACTTCCACAAAGTGCATCAGAAATTTAAAATAAAAAAAAAGTAACCAAACCAACCCCCAAAACATCCCTGAATTTCAGGAATTCCCCAATTTAAAAAAAAAAAAAAAGAAATCCCCAAACCCCCTATCGGATCAACATTTACAAGAAAAATAAGCGAACCCGATCTGGTTTTTTTTTTCTTTTTTTTTTTTTTTTTCTTTTTTGAACCCTTTTTGTAC